GCTATTATGTCTTTTTTTTTTTTTTTTTTTTTTTAACAGATAGTTTATTGTCAAGTTGGTTTCCATATAACACCCGGTGCTCATCCCCACAAGTGCCCTCCTCCATGGAGGAGGCCACTGTTTATTCTAATAGTGCTTTTTTACAAACACACTGTCTGGTTCAGTATGCCCATAGCTCTTCTCTCTTCAATGTACTTTCTCTTCAGTATGACTGCCCTAATGTTCAGAATGTTGACATACACTGCCTGAATGTGCATGTAGCACATTAGTTTTAGAAAATCCAACCTGCTCACTATCAACAGTAGCCAAATTAAGGAAAGAGCCTAAATGTCCACTGACTGAGAAATGGATAAAAACTATGTAGTATATGTATAGAATGGAATATTACTTGTCAGTCAAAAAGAACAAAATCTTGCCATTTGCAACAATGTGGATGGAACTAGAGTGTATTATGGGAACTAAAATTAGTCTGAGAAAGACAAACATCAGATTATTTTATTCATATGTGGAATTTAAGAAACAAAACAGATGAACATAGAGGAAGGGAAGGAAAAATGAGGTGAAAACAGAGAGGAAGACAAACCATAAAAGACTTAGTACAGAGAACAAACAAGGTTGCTGGAGGGGTGTCTGGTAAGGGGATGGGCTAAATGGGTGATGGGCATTAAGGAGGGCACTTGGGATGAGCCCCGGGTGTCATATGTAAGTGATGAATCATTATTACACAATATGTTAACTAATGTGGATTTAAATTTTAAAAAAGAGTAAAAAAAAAAAAAAGAAAGAAAATTCAGCCTGCCAAAATGCTCCAAATAAGAGTTCTTTTTCAAAACATGTAAATATTTATTGGCTTTATATGGATCAAAATGCAGTTGTCATGAAGCACTGGACAAACTATATCTCCATACTCATAACACTTACAATATTCTTTAAAATACCAAATTTGCTAGATTAAAAAACAACTCTAAAATGCCTCAGTATTTGAGAAGTATGTCTGTTAGAATACTGACAGCTAGTCTGGGATTTATCACAACTCATCCTAGAGATATTTATTAAGTTCCTACTGTATGTCAGGCACCATGCTAGATACTACAGATATGGTGGTGAACAGAACAGGACACAGCCTACACAGTCCCTCCCTCAAATGGAGTTTTAGCTGAATTTACAGATTCTGAGCTGAACTAAACTGAATCTGAACTAAGGACTGTAGTACAAATTCCTTTTTTTCCCCTAAGTTTCTATTGATACACACAAAAAAAAGACTTTTCACCATATTTTACCTGAAAAGTTGTATGGAATCAAACATCCAATCATAGTACCCTTCAGAAAGAAATGTATTACGTTGATAATATCTATTTTACTTCAGTAGTGTTTCAGATCCTTACTGATTATCTGATCTTCATTGTTTTGACCCTTTGAGTTAACTTCATATTTATCGATAAAGTAAGAGACTTATCTTTCTTTCAGGTCTTCACTTTGTATTAGTAAAGTGTTTGCCTTGATTGGTCTTTTATTGCAAATATGATAATATACTGTGTCAACCAGGGACATTAACTTTTAATTCAGGTATACATCTAGAAAGCAAAACTATGGACCAATAAGCAAGAAGCTAAATTCTAAATGAGCCTTATTCTCATAAACTATGAACAGCCATGCATGAAAATCTCAGAAAGCATTATGCCTAAACATTAACATTCATCAGACATTCAACAACGAATAAGTCACAAGATGTTAGTCAGTACAGCAGACTTAAAAAGAAGCGTCTAACTCCAAGGTGAAATTTGCTTTTCCTTTCAACGAATAGGACTTAGGCCAAAAACAGAAATTTGTTCTGTGTTGACTCCATAAACTAACATCAGTTTATTAATCTCTCAATGCCTATTTAATCACATCATCACAAAGATTAAATTTAGGTGAAGGTAACTATCTGGTACACTGACTCCAATGTATGAAGTGTTTCTTCCTTCAAATCAAAAGTCAGGTTTTGCTACTGTGTCTATACCTCTTTGTGCCTGTCCACCACTTATTTCCTCATGTACTTGAGTTCTCTCTTCTGTTACATTCTTTAGGAGAATTTGTGCCTGAATGTATGAGCTCCATTTTATGTGTATGCAGGGAAGCTGAGACAGGAGGACCATAAAGATCATGGTTCTATTAAATGGCACCAAAAAGCCATGAAGACAAAAGATACACTTTTTTATCCCCATGATCACGAGAAAGGCTATGGTCCCTAACATCTGCTTGCACACACACTCTTCAGGCTGGCATTTTTTTGACTTCTTTCTGGATTAAAGGCAGCTCATGTGGAAGGGATTGGATCCCTGCCACTCCATACCAAAAAGAAAAGAAAAAAACAGTAAGCCTAGATTTATGTTGTTTCTCTAACCTTAACAATTGGAGATTAAAATTACTATTTGGTAGGATTTGAACTCAAAATTTCACACAAGTGAAATTACTTATCCAAAGCTACAGAGTAAGTAGCACACCTGGATCCTAAATGCAAGTCTTTAGACCCTACTGTGTGTTTTAACCTTTTAATCCCCAGAGGTACACATCCATATACCAAGGGATTATATTAAACCACAACATAACTTGGTACAACTTCTTAAAGAGCTATTTTACTTCGTATTAAGTAACTTTAAACATTGTTTGGTGTTAAGGCAAACGTAATTATACAGAGAACACAAATCCCTTATGGATTTTTAAGATAGAATATAAGATTTTGAGAGCAGGCTGGTTGCTCTGGGCTCTGTCACCAGATGCCCCAGGAGGATGCTGTCATACTTTGTCTTATCAGTGTTACTTTGCTAGGGAGGGGGCCTCAAGAGAAGAGACAAGAAACCTCAAAAGAGTTTATAAAGCCTAGAATAGAAGACCTTTAAATCCATTCAACTCTGAAATCCTAAAGCTTACAACATGAGTTTGTTTCAGATAACACAAAAAAGAGTAGTTCATTAAAGAAATTACAGTCGAGTGCGTCTGACTACAGCAGGAAGAGAAGTCCCAGCATCCTAGCCACATTCTCCCCTCAACCCCTCCAGTGGCCGCAGAGTATCTCCAACAGATCCCTTGGCTCCCTGGATCAGCTGGAGAACCACATATACAAGTGTATTGTTTGTAGCCTTGAATTGATGGCATATTGTGATTTATCTAAAGCAAAATCCTTTGCCAATGACGAGTTCACACATTGCCCCCTCACCTTGATCCCCCACCTATTTATACTATTTTTCCTATCAGAAAATATGAAGCACTTTACAGCCATATGCTTCGCAAAGCAGTTTTAAGAACATATTTTCGTACAGAAGTGGAAATGCCTAGAATTTGCAAGTCTGTTGCCACCTATTAGCTGAACCCAAAATAAAGATGAACATTTAATGACTGGCTTGTGAGATTTCAACAAGGCAACATTTTGATTTCTGGCTTTCTGTTCTTCTCATGTGCATTTGTCACAGCTCATTTGATAGTATGAAGGAATGAGCCTCCTTGGCATGGCTGTCTCATGTTTCTTTTCAATGTGACAAATTGTTGATGATTCGCAAAGTACAGTACGGTCTCCACAGCATGTATTCTGCCCCGCTGAAAGTGAGCTAAGAACAGTAGTTTGCCTCATTAGTGCCCTTTGTACTCAGCAAACCGAAGCGGGCAGAAGCTGTCTGATAAGACCACAGTCCGGATAATGCTCCTGTTAATACGCACTGGGCATACTTCCGAGAACTGAATACTCAGACAGGCCTACTGGCCTCAAAGGTGAAAAAAAAATCATCCGCGTCCTACCAGCTGGTGGACAAGTGGCACCTTTGGAAGCTTCGGTAGCAAGACAGAAACGGCAGCAGCACTACATTTTAAGGCTGCTTTTCCAGGAACTAGTTGAGTGACCTTGAGAAAGTCACAGCAAGTGCTCCCCTGTCTCCTATGTCCTCATGACTGAGATGGCAATGATTTGAAATGGAAATATGTCATGAAGAAAAACATATTAAACCACTGAATATTCAAGTAGATTAAAAAAAAAAAAAGCAAGTACTTGAAGGAAAAACTCTGTTTTCTTTCACTGACTGAAAATAGTACAAACACTGGGCTTCAGAGTAAGCAAACCCCACATTGCTGCATATCACCTTGGATGCATTCGGAAATAGTCTGAATGCCCTGAAACTCTGAAATGACTCCTCTTATCGGTAATGTATAAATAGCTTTCCAGGTAGCATATGATAAGATAGCTTGATGGGAATAGTAACAAAAATTAATACTCGGTCTTTTTTTTTACTTGTGTAAAATAAAACAGGCAAATGTGATAGTGATTAAAAGAAAGAAGCATGGAGGCAAAAATAAATATAACTAAATAGGTACCTAATGTAATATCAAGTAAACAAAACTGTAAACACTTAATCTTCATGAGGCGCCTGGGTGGTTCAGTCAGTTAAGCCCCTGACTTCGGTTCAGGTCATGATCTCACAGCTTGTGGGTTCAAGCCCCACATCAGGCTCTGTGCTGACAGCTAGCTCAGAGCCTGGAGCCTGCTTCCAATTCTGTGTCTCCCTCTCTCTCTGACCCTCTCCTGCTCACGCTGCCCCTCTCTCTCTCTCTCTCAGAAATAAATAAGACATTAATTTTTTTTTTTTTTTTAGTTAATCTTATGTTCACTTTTAAAAGACTTGAAAGTCAGTGGTGAGGGTCCCTCGGCATTTCCCGAGGCACAGAACTACGTGTGGCAGTCGGTGCCCGGTGAATGAGTGAATGCTGCTTCTTGGCCTAGGGTTGCTTTGATGGAATTAGAGTTTGTTTGGTTTGATTCATAGGCTTCTTGTTGGTGTGCTTTGCTTTGTTTTCTGCCTTGTCATGAAGAATTAAAGTGTAAGCTCACCACCCTCGTTTTTATTCCGGCAGCACTTTGACATGCCTCATGATATTGCTGCATCAGAAGATGGGACTGTGTATGTGGGAGACGCTCACACCAACACCGTATGGAAGTTCACCCTGAATGAAAGTATGGTTTTTACAGTATTATTGTCCATATTTTCCCTCATCTGTATTGCTTAAAAGTATGTGAAAAAAATATTTGCATTCCCTTCTCTTTTTATTGATAGGAGTAGGAAACTAAAGCATAACCGGCCATTGTTAAAAGAACTGTTTGGTTTCATTTCAGGGATTAAATTAATTTTTAAAAAGTAGAAAAGAGAGAAACACCTTTTTTTTTTTCTTTTCCTGGCAGTTATCCCCTTGTTTCCACAGATACTCCACAGGAAATTCTTGATGCCTGGAGTAATGTCTGTTACACTGAAAGCCAATGTTAATTCCAAGTTAGTTCCACAGGGAGAGGATGGCTTTGGCAAAGCAGAGGGGCTGACTGGCTTCCATGCTGGTATCACTTCCCATGTGGCTCTTCAGTTCTCAGTAGCTGCTGAGCACCTAGGAACACCAGCATCTGTGTCAGACACATAGTATCCCAAGCAGGAAGCACTGCATTTTCCCCATTAGACTTCAGCTTGTTCAGAATACTGAATTGTCTCATGTAACTCAAAATTATTTCGGGGGACAGCAGACTTTCCCTATTAGGATCAAGCCAGGTAGTTTTACGGATTTTCTAAGGGCTATTTGAACATTATTTCTAACTCCTGAAAAGTATACTAACCTAGCCTCTGATATCATAATAAAAAACAAGTTTCCCAATTGAACACGGTCCAGGGGCACCCACGTGGCTCAGTCGGTTGAGCATCGACTCTTGATTTTGGCTCAGGTCGTAATTCCAGGGTCATGGGATTGAGCCCTGCATCAGGCTGCACGCTGAGTGTGAAGCCTGCTTAAGATCTCCTGTCTCCCTCTGTCCCTCTCACTGGCTCACACGCTCTCTCTCAAAAAATAAAATAAAATAAATAAGAGGCAGGGTCGAAGGACCCAAACAATCGGAGATGGTATTAAGGAAAAGAATTAAAGAACTGAAGACAGTAAATTTGAGATGTCAGGAACTGCAACTGGCAACTAGATAGATAATAAGGCCATTTGGAATTAATGAAGGTAAATACCAGTTATAACAACAAAAAGTGAAAATTACAATAAAGAAAAAAAGTAAGTTATAACAAAAAGGAGTAAAATCAAGCATCTAAAAACTTTAATCATTGAGCATACAGATCTTGGAACCCAAGTAAATTTGGTAACTGCTATCTTCAGAATTATCCTTTGAGTAGTTTTTGCTATTTTGTAATAAGTACCCAGTTAGGGTTGAGTGCATCGAGGTGTCTGTGGCCTATTCCACTCCAGCAACAGCCTTACATTCCCCTCACCCATCACCTGCCTCCTCAAAGAGGAGTCAAAACGAGTGGGCAGACAGGAAAGTAAATAGAGAGATGGAGAATTCCCAATTCCAAGACTAAATCCAGGCTTTTCAGAATTAAAAAAATAAATAAATACTTTTCTAGATAGAAAAGACCTCAGAAATCTAAACACTATCCTCATTTTGCAGATAGGAATATGATACTTGAACTCATTAAGATTCTAGTCTGAGGGTCTTTATACCACCCTAGTGGTAGTACTCAACAGAGATACATGTCCAAGTCACATGGTGAGGGCTTTCAAAACACACATGACCAGATCCTACTCAAGATCTAGAGAAAGAAGAGGGTGATAATGTGTATTTTGGAAAGGTTTCCCAAGTGGTTTTGACACATCACTTGGTTGAGAAGCGGTGCAATAAGCATTCAGCTTTGAAAGAGAAAAATCCTCTCTAGAGCCCAGAATGCAACTGAATAATAAATCTCGAAAATAGTACTTTGGGAACAGTAAGACTGCCTTCGGAGGCTAAACAAATGTCTCCTGTCTTTGCATTCTACTATTTTACTAGTGAAATCTATTTATGTAGCTAGAATACTGGTAATCAAACATGGCAGAATTAGTAATCAGTCTATGTCCACATAAAAACAGAACCACTTGATATTTCAGAAATACAGTATCATGAACTCCACAAGGAAAATCTCATTTTAAATACAAACAGCTTAGGGGCGCCCGGGTGGCTTAGTCGGTTAAGCGTCCGACTTTCACTCAGGTCATGATCTCGCGGTTCGTGGGTTCGAGCCCCGCGTCGGGCTCTGTGCTGACTGCCAGCTCGGAGCCTGGAGCCTATTTCAGAGTCTGTGTCTCCCTCTCTCTCTGACCCTCCCCTGCTCACGCTGTCTCTCTCTCTCTCTCCTAGAAATAAATAAAACATTTAAAAAAAAATAAAAAAAATAAATAAATAAATACAAACAGCTTAGAAACACTTCAGCTGTCCCTAGGAGACTGTATCCAAGATTCATGGGCCTGGCACCGAATTAGTGGTTTGTCTTAAAACTCTTATGTAATATGATAATGCACTTGATGAAGTGAGAAAATATTTTCTACTAAGTGAAATTAATGCCAAAATTAAGTTTTCACTCCCTTATGACCCAGCAATAGCACTGCTAGGAATTTACCCAAGGGATACAGAAATGCTGAGGCATAGGAGCACATGTACCCCAATGTTCATAGCAGCACTCTCCACAATAGCTAAAACATGGAAAGAGCCTAAGTGTCCATCAACAGATGAATGGATCAAGAAGATGTGGTTTATCTATACCATGGAATACTACATGGCAATGAGAAACAATGAAATCTGGCCATGTGTAGCAACATGGATGGACCTTGAGGGTGTTATGCTGAGCGAAATAAGTCAGGCAGAGAAGGACAAATACCATATGTTTGCACGTATAGGAGGATTAGGAGGAACTTGACGGAGGAACAAGGGGGAGAAGAAGGGCGGAAATGGTGGGGGAAAGGGAGAGAGGCAAACCATGAGAGACTCTTGAATGCTGACAAAAACTGAGGACTGATGGATGTGGGGGGGAGGGGGGGAGGGGCATGAAGGAGGGCACTTTGGGGATGAGCACTGAGTGTTATGTAGAAACTAATTTGACAATAAACTATTTGTAAAAAAAAAAAAAAAAAAATTAAGTTTTCAATAATTTGTTTGAAGATTCTGATTTTCTTTCTCCTTCACTGTGCTATGTTACAGAAATGGAACATCGATCAGTTAAAAAGGCGGGCATTGAGGTCCAGGAAATCAAAGGTTGGTCATATTCCTCTTAAGAATGTGAAACCCAAGACTATTTGTGCTGAATTCTTTTATGGCCCTTGATTCTACTTTAAAAATTATCAGACTAAAAATATAAATCTGGTAAATCATAACTTCTACTATGTACTGAGCCTTTAAACCTGCATGTTGCCAACTGTTTTCTTTGTTAAATGGAGTGGTAATAATGAGCTCAAATTCACTGATTTCAAGTGATAGAAAGTGATTCTGAACAAGTGGGCCAGAGACATTCAAAGAGGAAAAAAGTAAGTCAGTCACTTTTAGAAGTACATTAACTTCAGACAAGCAGAAAAATACCATCCAGTATCCTGAAAAGTGGGCTGTAATGTAAATGAGTGAAAAAAGTATCTTTGGTGAGTTACTATTATAGGGGCCTGACAAGCTGAGCTGTTCCCTAAGCTCCAATCTTAGCACCATTTGCCCCAAAAATTTACTGAGGGCCATCTATGTATAAGGGACTACAATGGGTTTAAGGGAAATGTAACTGTGCCTGACTTCAAGAGACATATAACCTATAAGGAAAGAGAGGGAAGAAGGGAGAGAGAGTGAGATAGAGAGAGTGAGGTATACATATGCATATATACAAATAAGTATAGCTTTGGTATATACTATCAGGAATGGGATTTATCAGGAATTTAACTACTGGTAAGCAACTATTGGTTTAATTAGAAATCCCAAATTATTTTCTCCCTTTGCTAGGATCAGTTTATATTTGTACATGTTATACTGTCTGCAGGGTTTTGACATGGTCATGTAAAATTAAGAACTCCCTAAAGGGTGCTCCTAATGTCGAAGTGGCAAAGTGATTCCATTATTAGTTGCTTTACAAATGATTCACCTAGATATTCAGACTTAACCCTAGGCTTACTTGCTTTCCTTTCTTATGAAAGCAGGTGAAAAAAGATGCAAAGAAGCAAGAACCAAGAGGGAGTTTAGGGATTTTATATAGGCAGATAAGAGAATATAGCCGGCTCAAGGTTGAAAGGGGTAAGATAATATTATAAAATAAATAAATGGCAAATGTTTGGCATTTGTAGAAATTCAACCCAAGTGACTCTACCGAGTGGCATTCATACCACTGAAGAGTTCCTGAGCCTTTATTTTTCTATGATTGTTACATATAAATTATTGGTGAGTGGTTTTCTTTGGAATAAATTTATTATTATTAATAAAAGCTATCATTTGTGGAACACAATGAGGTATACAAAAATTGCTAAGTTAATTCCTTACACTATGTGTAATTGGTATTATCCCCATGTTACACATGAGGAAACTGAAGATCAGACTTACTACTAAGTGGTAGAGCCAGGGTTTAAACCACAGTTTATTTGCCACTGAAGCCTGTGCTCTTAACCACTATTCCTTTACTACTGAGGAGAGATGAATACCACCAATTCATTTACCATAAATTCTTCCAAGAGCTATAGGTTGGGGGTGCTTGTAGTTTACTCTGAAATCTGTGGGATTTCAAAGTGGCCTCAGGCCTCTTCTGTTTAAATAAATCCCACCCCCACCCCGCCAAAAAAAAAAATCCTATAGTGTTTGGATTGTTGAGAACAGCCCAACCATACTGATCTCTTCTTGCCTGGCCAGTGAAGGATGAACAGCGCTCTCCCCAGGCCATTTCCTCTCTCCTCAGTGCACACCACTGACTGCATTTGGTCAGAAAACCTCCCAGCCTTGTGGCAGAACACAAGAGTGCAATTAGTAAATGTTAAAATATCTTGTCATGATAGTCCTATTTTAATAGGAATGCCCAAACTCAAACATTCAAGTTCAAATGAAATCGGTCTAGTCCTCTTTGGCTCCATATGATTCTCACTAAACCTTTCTTTTTTAAAGATTATTTTCTTATTACACACGGGAGAATAAATCATGCTGAATCTCTAAAAGTTTGTCTTTTTTCAAAATCTGAAAGCTTAATTTAAACCATCCCTTACAAAAGAGAGGGAGAAACAGCATCCCAGATTCAGCTGCGTGTAAATTTCCAAATCTGAGTAACCTCTGACGACCTTCATCCCCACTGTGAATGGTCATATAACTGATGAGTAATAACAGTGTTTCAGAACCAGTGTTGTATTCACAGGGAGTTGCAGAGATAAGAGAATGTGTGATGATAAACTGAGGAAAGGCGTTTTCAAATAAAGTTGCTAAGGATAAAACAGACATCAAAATCATAGCCTTCACCCTCGCTCCCCCAAAAAAAAGATGATGACAATGAATCAGTCTTAATAACATAAAAAGAAATGCTCTAGTGCAGCTAGTGTCTTAGGCCTTATGGAGAACAATACATTAGAGGGGAAACACATTACATTAAAAAATAATAATAAAAAGAAAGGAAAGAGTAATCTCACTGGTGCTATCTGTATTTTTCCTGTTACTTGCTAATATGCCATCTAAAACCCTCAGCCTTCAGTTCTGTCTGTAATAAACTGGGTAATAACTGCTGGACTGCTGTATTAAGAATGTCTCTCCTTTACTGTCTGAGTTATTCCAATTCCCCGTGGCCTCTGGGCTTTTCCTCTTCTCTCAAGGGGAAAGAAACATGTGCATGCTTGTATGTGTGAGCTCACACAGGAATGCACCTAGTCTCCCCTTCTAAACTCAGTGCTTTAAAGAAGGGAAAAACTTCCTATATATCAGCATTTCATAATTATATTTATTTCCAGATATGTCTAGGGATGCCAGAAGAGCTTGTTTGAAGACATTTTTGTTTAAAATGGACTAATCTGGCATCTTACATGATAGAAAAATGTCATATGAGACAGCCCCTCTTCCAGAAGCCCCAGGTTCTGGATAGTATTAGAACTTCTTCACTGTTCCTTCATCAGGGATGCTCCAAATTAAAAAAAATTAATTTTTAATTAAAGAATTTAGGATAAGGAATAAAAGTGGCAGAATTTGAAATTCCTAGAATCTTAAATCATAACTATTTTTTAGACTTTTTACTCCACTTACAAAAGTTCCAGAGAAAGAACAATATTGCTTTTTTTTTGTTTGTTTGTGTTTTGGGACTGGGAAATATAAATTCATCCACTTTCTTTAAGATATAGAGTCTCTTTTAAAATCTAAACGTACTTCAGCAGGCTCCAAAGTTAGAATGTTTGTGTATTTTTAGTAGATGCACTCAGATTACCAGAGGGGGTATGGAAATCAAGAACTTCTGAAGTATAGTGTGTGTACCTTAGTGAGGTCATTACCTCAGTCTCAGCATACTCTCAGTGAATGCTATACTGATTCTGTTAGTCTGTCACCTACTTCACAGTTCCTGTTTCCTTTTACTGGAGCCCAATCCTAGGTCTGTTCTTTATATAAAGGAACTAGATATGAGCTGGTACAGCCATTGTCTTTGCTCCCAGTAAACCCACCAAATGACAGAAAATGCTATGTAATTAGTCTGGTTATAGTCATTATCAAATAGAAACAAATCCTTCTTTCAAGGCAACAAATTCTCGGCTACCAATGTGTACCTTTAGTCTGGTTTTTAACCCTGTCTTATATTTATTGTTATTTTCCTGCTTAAATACAGAAGGAATTTAAGTAAAACAGAACAACTTGCCTATCTTTTCTATAGTAATGAAGAAAAAGAAGTAACAGTGATCAGGAAGAGTAAGAATCACAGTTATCTTCCTCTTGGAAACTGAGATCTAGACAGATTAAATGTGAGCCATCTAGATCTACAAACCAATCCCTTTCCTTCTCTCCTGCTGAAGTTTCAAAAGCCACTCCAGTGGACAAAGGAAGAGAAATAATGGTTACCCATTAACCATAGTACAGAGAAGGAAATGAAGACTATGAGGCCATCTGTAAAATGGTGACACTAGTACTGCCTACTCATAGGCTTGGTGTAGTGATTCAGTGAGAACATTGCCTGAAACAGTACAAGCGCTTAGTAGGCCTCACTGAGATCATGAAAGAGGCTGGCTCAGAACACTGAAGCCAAAAAGCGGAGACCTGCCATTTGTGTGTATCATAAATGGTGTCTACAATGTCTTAAGTAATTTGAGAAATGCTTCCTTGGAGAAGTGTCCAGCAAGCTACTAAGTTTGTGAACACATAGTAAACATTAACCAAAGATTTTCCTGATTGTGTTGAACCAGCTATTCCTGTCATTTTGCCAAAATTTCCATGAGGCCATATGATTCACTCTGCATTACACCAAGAACTGAAGTTTCAGAAACGTTGTGAGCATTTTGGCAAAGATGATAGTAACTTCTAGACTTTGCACACTAGGGTTTTTGTCCAAGTACACATATGTGCTTCTGGAGGACAGGAATGTTGCAAGGCTCAACCTCATTTTCAAGTCAGTAATTGTTAAGATCCCTGAAGCAGTTTATATGGTTCAGTTGCATCAGTTCCCAAACAGTATTTTCGGCCTGATACCTACCCAGTACCAGTCAATATCAGAAAAGTTATTCTATAGGTTCTATAGACTATAGAATAAGTTCTATAAGTTATTTTCATCAAATACAAAATCATACACAGTGCTTCTCTGTACACTTACAGCTTGCTAGGAACTGTAGAAAAGAAACTGAAAAGGGCACAGTTCTTTTTCCAGTTTGAAATCCTAGAATATGTGTAACTGTGCATATGATGTACCAATAACTCATTGAACATTAACGAGATTCATAAACTAAAGATACAAGGAAACATACTAAAAAACACCTTCTCTATGTCAAACATTCACACTCAACAATTTTTTGAAGGTGTTATTTTGTTTATCATCACTGTTCTACAGATGAGGTTACTAAGGCCCAGATTACTTAAGTAACTTGCCCAAAGTTACACATCTAATTTATATAGGAGAACTGGGATTTCAGCCCAGATTCATTTGACTCTAGTATGCACACCAATTCTTTGCCCTGCACCATGCTGCCTATTAATTTTATTGGAAAAAATGCAAAAGGAGGATATTTGTTTTGTGGAATTATGGGGAATAAAGGGCAAGATCAAAGAAAACCAATTTAAAAGTACAAAATCATTGGGTGGAAATGAACTAATCACAATACCTGCTGCCAGCTTAGTAGATTCAGATATTGAAATATGAACCCCACATGCACAGAACTCAACAAGTTCTTTATGAGCAGTTGTTGATTTGACTGGGTTGGGGTGGGTGGTTGGGTTTTGGACTCTTTGGGTCAGTTGAATATTGTGAACTCTTTTTTCCCTGAAGAATCCGAGGCAGTTGTTGAAAACAAAATGGAGAACAAACCCGCCTCCACAGAGTTGCAGAAGATGCAAGAGAAACAGAAACTGATCAAAGAGCCGGGCTTGGGAGTGCCCATTGTTCTCATTACAACCCTGCTGGTCATTCCGGTGGTTGTCCTGCTGGCCATTGCCTTATTTATTCGGTGGAAAAAATCAAAGGCCTTTGGAGGCAAGTAAAATGAGCCCCCTGAACTTGGAAACTACCTTTGAAAGAGTGTTTGGCCTGAGTATCTTCAAAGTTTGTGATTTTTTTCAGTGTTTTTTTCCAAGTGCTCTCTGCCTTTTTGGATGTTACTGTTTATGTTCCAAATATTGTCTATACTTAGTATCACTGTAGAAGAAGTGTCAGAAGCCTCAGAAATTTAGATAGTTAGATTAAAATATAACTTTGAATACAGCCTGTTAGCAATTGGCATAAGTCCAGTTAATGTCTCCATATGAAACTGTGTAGATACACACACACATACATTAGCTCAGGAAGGAGGAGACCTTGCTTTTAGAAAGAAGCCCAGGTCTCAAAATACCTGGGTCCATTATGTGGATGTTATGTTTTCCCCTCTTAGTCCTGGCTTTAGCTCCTAGCTACATGACCTTGGGCAAGTTACTTAGTCACTCCAAGCCACAGTTTCCTCATCTATAAAGTAGGGATACAATACTCACATGGCTGTGTGAAGATTCAAGGAAATGATAAACATAAAGCATTTATCACAGTTTCTGCCACCTAGTAAGTGCTCAATTAATTCCACTGATTGTGAAACAGTCATTGGTAATAAAGTAATAAAAGTCATAAGAAGTCATGAAAGATCCTTGTCTTAAACCTCAACTTTCTCAGGAAATCACCTATTCCTACAGTAGATCATTGGGTAGCTTTTAAATAGTCATAATTTGGGCCATCAGCCTGCCTTTACCAAACCAGGCAGAGTCCAGTGCTGGAATCAGTATGTTATCAGATCATTATCATAGTGTAGGAACAGGAGCTGTGTTTGTTCCTTTCAGGACATTCAGATAAATAATCCAACCCAGGATTCTCACCTCGCAGGAGCAGTCCCTTGGCTGGCTTCCCAGGTCCTAAGGCAAGAGTCTACAACTGTGTCTGGGAAGGAGTCCGTGGGCCAGGGTGGGAGGGAGCATTTGACCAAAGCGACCATGGCAGGGATTCAGTGCTGCCCAAGGCACAGCCCTGACACAGAAATGCACACAGAAACAAAAAACAGAGGATTCCATTTAATTAGTTGTGAAAGGGAATTTTTCTAGGACTTTGGTTTGTTTTCATCTGCAATTGATAAAGCTCTCAAAAATAGTTAACTCTTCAATAAAGATCTTCTTCTGAGCCCCTGTTATGGGTACGGAACTGTGGTAAACAGGAGCAAAGATGAACACAGTGGTTGTCTGCATGGAGGTAGATGGAAGCTTCAAAGGAACAAGAATCTTACACGTTACTTGTTTACTTATGTATCCTCAGCACAAGTCACAGCTCCTGGCACTAGGGGTTCGATAAATAGTTGTTGGGGAAATGACTGAATAAATAAGTGGAGCTCAGAGAATAGATGACACATAAAAAAGAGAGGACTCCATATAAAGCTACCAATAGAGGATGGTAAGTGCAGTGATACATACACAGGGTATCAGCAATACAAGGGGCCTGGGACCAGGCAGTAGGAATGGTGGTAATCAACCCACTCTGAAAGAGGGAGTAGCTGGGGACTTATGAAGGTTTGGTCCCTCCTGTTCGCTGATAATCACATGCAACACGGCACTGTTACAGAATACTGAGTATACAGGAGTGTGTTGGGAAGGCAGAGACCTAAGTCAGACTATATGAAATTACCATTATTCAATCATGGTTTATTTAGAAATATTCCAGTTTTATATGGTTCCATATAATACATTTAATTCTAAAAGTGGATCAGCCTCTCACCTTTTTTTCAGTATTTGTTCTAGCTAGAGCTTGTCCATTAATGAATTTTAGTAACCCTCATAAAAGACCTTCCATTTATTCAACACATACTTATCACATGTCAGCTGCACATCAGAGATTGTAGTCGGCACAGGGGATACAAAGCCAGCTAAGGGCTGTCCTGCATCCTTATAGAACTTACAGCCTAACTGGTTGGCTTTCTAACAGTCTAAATCAGATTCTTCCCTTCTTGCCTGTTTTTTTCCACACCCACTCTTCTACCTTTCCTGTGCCATCTGCTTGCTAGCTTTTTCCTTGAGGCTGCCTCTACTCCTGGTTAGAGACTTCATGGGAGAACCCCAAGCCACACTTCCCTTGGGGGAATAGCCCTTAGGGAAAGCCAGGACGAAAAATGCAGACAGATACAGAGCAAAGGGAAAAATAAGTCCATTGGGAGTTCTGCCTCCCGATAAAGAAAGTCCATCCTTCAGGGAGATGGGAAGCTCCATGGGAAAATTTGGGTCACTTTTATGACTGAAATTATTCAGTGTTTCAGGTCCTTGCCTTCAGTTAAGTCTTATACAAAGAAGAAATGATGTACAAGAACCCAAGGCTTTCTCAAGCAGGACGTGTACTGTGCTTAACAGAAAGACTAAAACCTAAGACAGAACTCCTAAATTATAATAACCAAAGCTTCCCAAGTTATTACAAATTCTTGGTAATTTAATTTTGTCCTAATAAAAATAACATATATATTGAGCATTTACTGTGTATCTACCAGGCACTGTTATAAACACATCATATGCAGCATCCCATCTAAACCTTGCAGATGGGTAGGGATTGTCATTGATCCCTCTTTTCTCCAATGAGGAAACTGAGGCTCAGAGAAGTAATTTACTGAGACTGCAGAGCACCAAAGTCAAAGCCAGCTCTGGCCCTCAGATACATCATAATAATGTATTGCCTTTTTTTCCCCCTTAGAATTGCTTACAGACAAGACTCAGGCCTTGTTTTTAATCATTTATGAATCCTAGATTCTGTATTGAAAGTTGAGTCCATGGTTGAGGAGGGTGATTGGGACTCATTTTGAAATGTGCGTCTTTTTCTAGCAGATTCTGAACACAAACTTGAGGCAAGTTCAGGAAGAGTGCTTGGAAGACTCAGAGGTATGCCTGTGACCTTTCAGAATCCTTCACATGTGGCTCAAAGTCAACAAGCTCATGTTCTTACAGAGCAGGGAGATACTTCCTATTTTCCCTCTGAAAAGTAAACTCCTCACGTGCAGTACAGCAACGTTAAGTGCAGAATGCAAACCGTATAAACTAAACCGAAGTATGGGGTTCTGGCAGCACATTTCTCAGTTTCGTTTTTTCTACCTTGGCCTTTCTATATTATCTAATTCTCTTCCCTTGCCTTTCATCTGGCTTCATTTGTCTTCAGTACATTTTCTGTCACTCCTGCCAGCATGTCATTGCTTGTTATAGTGCAGATGACCTTTTCATATAGTCATTGAAATGAAGAGCTCCTCGAGGGAAGCCAGTTCCAGAGAGCCTGGAAAAAGCAGGAGCTGAGAAATGAATCTGAAATAATCCTACAGAAACACCTAAATCTGTACAAGTAATATCTTCCTGACTCTGTAGGTTAAGTATCTGTCACTTCTGTTGCTGTTGTTATTTCCCATCCCAACTTGTGTTTACCACTTAAAAATTTACAAGTACACCAAGAATCTTTTGTGCAAACTTTACCTTGGTTCTGTGTCACTGTGTGCTTACTCCAGGAAAGGGAAGTGGAGGCTTAAACCTCGGAAATTTCTTTGCAAGCCGGAAAGGCTACAGCCGGAAAGGGTTTGACCGCCTTAGCACCGAGGGAAGTGACCTAGAGAAAGAGGAGGATGATGGAAGTGAATCGGAAGAGGAGTATTCAGCACCTCTGCCTGCGCCCTCACCTTCTTCCTCATGAAGACTGGGATTTGATTTAGGTTGATGGGATTTTCCAAGAATGCCCGATTCCTTTCCCTTTAGCACGTTTAGAGTTTTGCATATTTAATTGTAAACTGTACTAGTCTATGTGGGACTGTACACATTTTATTTCCTTTGTTTTGATTTAGTTGGCTTCTATTTCTAGTTGAGGAGTTTCCTAAAAGTTCATAGCAGTGCCACTGTCTTTATATGAACATAGCCTAGAGGAACGGTCCTCTTCTTCCATCACACTACTAATTTAATGATGGAAGCTTTGCTCATTTACATTTTCGAGACTTTTTCTGTAGATGTAAATAACCCCATTCTCTGCTTGAACACAGTATTTTCCCAATAGCACTTCCATATGCCTGTGTCTGTCTTTGGTGCCTTTCCTGTTCAGCATTCTCAGCCTGTGGCAGTAAAGAGAAACTTTGTGCTACATGAGGACAAAGCTGCTAAATCTCCTTCTATTTTTTTAAAATCACTAACATTATATTGCAACGAAGGAAAGAAAAAAAAGTCTCTATTTAAATTTGTTTTTTAATTTTCTTCTTCAGTTGGTGTGTTTTGGGGATGTCTTATTTTTAGATGGTTACACTGTTAGAACACTATTTTCAGAATCTGAATGTAATTTGTGTAATAAAGTGTTTTCAGAGCATTAGCTGTCAGAGTGTATTTTGCAATTTTTGCGTATTTGCAGGGTTCTGTATACAACTTTTGTAATAATTACACAAACCACGGTTATAGTGAAACCTACCCAGTGTCTTCAGCAGAAAGAAATTTGTATTGAATTAATCTGAAGATGGTATTTTGTTATGTAGCTGATACAAATTAAAAACCAGCATCAGAGTTTACATACATGTGTAAAAACAGGCTCTCTCTTAAAATACAAAGAGGATTTTTGCCTGCCTATCAATCAGGAGGTAAATAATTTAATAAAAGGCGATCTAGCTAAGAGGAAACGTCTCAAATTACATATGCAAATATATCCATCAGTATAGGCTACTACTAATAGTTTTCTTTTTAAAGAATAATTTCACTTCAATGCCATGTATTCATGGGAATATTCAGCTCTTACAGTGACTATGAATTACTTTTTTAACATCTTTCTCATAATTCATCAATGCAGTTTAGAAAGAACATGATCACTTTCCTTTGTATAATCACACTCTAGATCCCTTTCTTCAAAATGCCTATATTGCAATCCAGGCATCTTAGTAGTGGAATATTAGACATCTAATTGACTCATGAAAATAATACAGAGTGCTTCGCAAAAAAGTATATTAATTAGAATGTCTTCCAGCTATGTTATTTTTAAAAATCTAACATAACCTAGATTTTTTTCTTTTCATACTTACACCAAAGAGGATCTGATTGAAAGATTTGTTACTTCCCATATAGTCACCTTCCTGATACAACTTAATTTGGGCATCCTCCTCAAATAGAAGCTTTTTTTTTTATTCTTATGATCTTCATTCTCAAATAAGGAATATACTTTCCTCCCTTTGCCCACTCCTTTATGCCCCTTCCAGTGCATCAGTGGTAAACATGTAAATGTAGAATGATGACACTATTCTGAGGTATATGTGCCTGTTCACAGTGTCTTACATATTTTTATTTCAACATCAGAATATGTCCAGTACCCCAATGACACGTTTTATAGGTTGACTTTGATGCTATTCAGGTTTGAGGAAATTAGTTGCCTTGCATTAAGGTCATCTTTTGTGGTGCAATATTTGATTATCAGCTCCATTAGTTACTTTTTAAAATGTTACCTACATCTAATCTTATTCCTAAACAGTTTACAATGACTCAATGGATGCAAAAAATAAAATAAAAATGATAAATGATAAGGAGGTGAGAAAGAAAGATGGAGAACAAAGACAAAAATGGAAAAATTAATACAAGAGTAATTCCTATTACACCTGTTCAGGCCCAGAGGTTGGCTCTAAGTTTTCTAGCAGCTCATTAAATAAAACGTGATTAGTTACATAATTCATAAATCCATTAAACATTTAGAATTCCTAATTATAAGGCCAGAAAAACTTGCTCCCAAGTATCTTCTGAAAGACGACAGCAAGATGTGTAATTAAAGTCTTCAATAATATTCATGGAATAGACAAACACATTTTGGAGGTCTGTTCTTGCATATATCCCTCAATATAGCATGTGGCATTTCATGCCTCATATAAGCAAATGGCATTATAAAGAAGATACAGAAAAAGAAAATCTGCTGGGACATTATAATCCTGTCCTAGTACACTACCCTTATTCTATTAAGGGGCTTAATTAAAGATGGTAAACTATGGTAGACAATGAATGAACTCCATTGCCTTCAAGCAATCTCTCCACTATTGTACTTAGCTGAACTTCATTCACTGGGACACTAGAGAATGCACTGCCTGGGAAGTGCCTCAAGAAGTGGATCCCATCCCTGGCTTCACAGAAGAATCCTCTGGCGAATTTAAGAAAAAAAAGTCACTCTTTCCAGAGATCCTGACTTAGTTGACTTACAGTAGGACATTGATATAGGTCATGTTTTTTAGTATCTCTAGGTAATTCTAATACGCATCCACAGTTGAAAACCATTGTTTTTGAGAACTATTCTACTTTGCAAATTACTACAAGTCAATAGCTATATTTTCACCTAAGTTATAGCTTACAGATGTTTGAAGAGAGAAAATGGGGTCTGAGGTATTTTGCTTTGACCATTAGTACCAAGATCTGAATATCTTAATTGTTCAGTGTTTAATTGGATAATTAAAATAGGTATAACTGACATATTAAAAAGGCAAAGAGAAACAGTGGGGCTTTGATTTTTTTTTTTTTTTTTACATTAAATTATCCAAAGACTATTGTTTGGGGGAGATAAAAGAACAGCTTTGTCACTCACTGATTTGGTCCTGCACTATCATCTGCATAAAATCTTTTGTTCTAAGCTTTCTTATTATAATTTTTTTAATATCTTAACTTTTTCATTTTATTTTGAGAGAGAGCATGCATGAGCAAGGGAGGAGGAGAGAGTAGGAGAGAGAATCCCAAGCAGGCTCTGCACTGTCAGCATGAAGCCCTACAAGGGGCTCAAACTTACGAACCATGAGATCATGACCTGGGCTGAAACCAAGAGCTGGATGCTTAACCAACTGAGCCACACAGGTACACCATCTTCCTAGTTTATTAAATCAGTATATCCTTTTTCAAAATTCCCATGTATCTTTGAACTCTCACTGAACTGTTATGTTATATAAATTGAGTATTTAAGTAGCTGAATGATAAGGGAAGCCATAGACTTGGTTTTAGGGCTTATTCCCCAGACTGTCACCTACCTAGTAGCTCAAAGTCGATGTCAAAATTGATGTAGCCTAAGCAATACTCCTCAGACTTCAGCAATTCTAAGTATCAACTGGGGCTACTTATTGTAAGAGGACTGACTCTTGATCCCATTCCCAGAGTTTCTGACTCACTACATTGAGTAAGGCCTAGATCTCTGCATTTTTAAAAGATGTTTATTTATTTTGAGAGAGAAAGCGCATGTGAGTGTGGGAGAGGCGGAGAGAGAGAGAGAGAAAGAGAGAGAGGAGACAGAGAATCCCAAGGAGGCTCCGCTCTATCAGCATGGACAAGGAAGTGGGGCTTGATCTCATGAACCATGACATGAGATCATGACCTGAGCCAAAATCAAAGCTTAACTTAGTGAGCCACCCAGGCACCTCAAATCTCTGCATTTTTAAGAAGTACCCCTGGTGATTTGGATCAAGGTGTTTTATGGACCATCTACAGGAAATATGGTCCTACAGAGATTAGCTAAGTCTTAAAACAAATTATTAGGCACACAAAGCCATTTTTCTCAAATATGTGTTTCCAAAGAGCAAATGGCCCAAGCCAACTCTCCTTATCACCCTCTCTCCAAGGAGAAGCCACATTTGACTTCTCTCTCAAATGGCCATGCCCTTACTATCCTTTCAGCTTCTAGACATTTTTTCCTGATGCCTGCACAGATTTCCCCTATCAAACTCTTAGATCATTGAGTAATAAATAATTAAGAAAGAAATTTTTTGGCTCATTGTCTCGTAAAAGAGGATCTAGGGACACAAAAAAATAACATCAGATCTGTCTCTCTCTCTCTCCCCCCTGCAGCTGTTTTCCTTTGAATTGGTTTCATATTCTAGAATGTTCTTTCTATGTGATATGAAAGATAGCTCTGGTAAGTGTCTGAAAATTTGACAGAGCCTCCCCTATGTTCCCCATCTCTATATCAACGCCCCCCCCAAAAGGATTCAGGAACACAGTAACACTCGTGTTTTCTTCTTCAGAAATGACAGAAGATTTACAAAGATATATCCATCAGTCCTTACAGTGCACTCTTTTAGGAGTGAGGAAAGTTTTTCTTGGTCCTTCTATGGCCATGGTCATTTCTGAGCCATTCCTTAGCAAAGGGAATAAGATTATTTTTATACCATTCAGGCCCATGCGTGAAGCTTGATGCGATGAACTTTCCCTAAGTCCCATGGCTCCAAAAGAAAAGTGCTAGACATTGAAACAAAATTCAGACAGGAAAGAGAGATAAAAGAAAATGGTTGCTAAGGAGGCAAGCAACAATTCACTACAGGCTAGCTGTAATCTAAATTTAGAGAATAAAATTCATTTATCAATAGATACCTGCTAAGCTCCCAAAACCTCAAATAGCTCACAATGTTAAGGGGGGAAAATGCATAAAATCATTTTATTAAACTCAATGATTTAAGTAGAGCAACATAACTGACAAAGTTTGTAGTCAGGGACTATACAAGGTATTTGTTAGGGGCACCTAGGTGTCTCAGTTGGTTAAGCACCTACTTTGGTTCAGGTCATGATCTCATGGTTTGTGAG